TGTCAATTACAAAGATGTAAAACCCATGTTAGTTTTTTTTTAATTTATTTTTTTATAGTTAAATAGTAAATTTCAAATAAAATGATGTTGTAGTTGCCCTTAGTATGGGGTCCTTCTCTAGATAAAACATGGCGTCTTAAATCAAATAAAAAACTTAACCTAAATGTCTAATATAAATAATTTTAAAATTGAAATAATTTAGATTAGTGGTCTCGTACTTAGTATAGGGGTCATTCCTAGTGTAGAAGGAAAAGGAAATTATATAGCTATATAAGTATTTTACGTGTCATTTTTATGGTAGCAGAGGTTCCATTGTCTTGAAAATTTGAAAAAATTAATGAGGATAAAAGCACTTCGAATCCAGTGCGTTCAGACTAGAAGGGATTTTCTTTTCAAGTCCACTAAAACTTTAACACGTCATTCGATGCTCTCCCCACCTCTCTCTCTCTCTCTCTCTCTCTCCCTTCTTCTTCTTCTTCTTCTTCTTCACATTGGAGTTCTTCGAAACTTAGAACAAAGAAGAATGGTGAGATCCCTCTCCACTTTGCTCAGTTGTGAATGATGTGTGTGTGTGTGAGAGAGAGAGAGAGAGAGAGAGAGGAAGCACAGACAAACAACTTACCAAGTTTGTTGAAGAACATTTGTCGCACCTGAATGCATCGAGTTTGCTGGCTTCCCTTCTATGGCGAGCTAAGTTTGACAAAACGAATAGGTTGTGGTTAGAACTCAGATGCAGAGAGGGAAAAGAAGAAGAAGAAAAAGAAGAGGGGAGAGAGAGAGAGAGAGAGAGAGGTGGAGAGGGATCTCACCATTCACCGTTCTGAGGAGGAAGAAGGTAAAAAGTATACCTGGCCTTCTTTGATTTTTTTTTTCAAAAAAGTTTACCTTTTCTAGATATTATATTCAAATAATTATTTCTATTGATATTAAAAGGCAAAAATTGCCTTTATCAACAATAATAATCAACGTTTTTGAACTATCGTTGACCTGGATGATCGGACTGTTCAGACTAGAAACCGATCACTTGAACGGTTCCGGTTTTACCCCAAACCGTCATCTAGACCAAAACCATTGAAATGGTAAAAAAAACTATTGACCCAAATGGTTGAACTATGGACCCATTCGACCTGGTCAATGGCTAGCGGTTTGGCATTTATATTTATTTTAATTTATTATTTTATTTTAAAATGAAAACAAAACAATGGTTGATCTCTGTTTTCCAATTTCACATTAGGAACCACCAATCTCTGCGCATTAAGCCATTAACTCATTTCTATTTTTTTTGCCATACTATGATTTCTTGCATAGGAACCACCATTTGTGCTGGCGATCACTCCATTGGAGCCAAGAACCACTGTATTTTTCTGGTATTTCTTGCAATACTATAATTTCTTTTTCCTGTATTTTTATGTATATTTTCTGTATTTTATTTTAATTTTTATGATATTAAATATATATTTTTTTAATTTATTTATGTTATCACAGGTCGAACCGTTCGGCCCGAACGGTTGAATCGCCGAACCGAAAAACGGTGCCCAGAACGGTTCCGTTTCTCACCCTTCTTCCCCAACCATTAATCGGACGATAAGCCCTTCTAACGGTTGTGGCTTTTGATCTGCAATACAAACCCTCACGTTCTAAATCAGAAAAAACGCTCGTGTTCTCAGTCCAAATGAAACTCAAGCACTGCTCTCCCAACTATTAATGGGAAAATAAGCTTGTTCTGACTTTAGATTTGCAGACACGACGCGTCTTTTTTCTTCCTCCACTTCTGCAAGTAAAAACAATAGCTCCAAACATATTTTTTCTTGCAGTCAGTGGGTTAATTAGCTTTTTCGTTCTCCCTCTCTGGCTTCTGTATTTTGGGGTTTCCAAGATTAAAAATGGAATTGGAGCTTTGTTTCTATTTCTTATTAGAATATATAATCTAGGCAAAAAAAAAAAAGTCTTTCGAAAAGTAAGGACGAAAAAGCCTAAACACAGTAGTTCACCCTTGAGGCCTTAAACACTCTTTGATGTTTGAAACTTTCTATAACACTGTTGACGTTGCCGTTAAAATCCATGGTTGTTGTTCTGTTGCTGTTTGAACATCATTGATGAAAGCTTGTTGTCGTCAAGATTTTAGTGGACTCAAAGAGATTCCAAACGCACTGAACCGGGACTTGGATAAAAGAGATTTTTTTTATGATTCTTTCAGACATAACTTTGACAGGGATATTGTTTTGATGATTCCTTTGTTCTGAAAATTTGATCAAGGCGACCTCCCTCTCCCCCGTTGATCGAATTGGGATTGTTCCTCACAAAGGGCGTCTCACAAGCACATCCCACCGTACATTGGAACATTTTCCGTAAATAATAATAGTACGGAAGATGCTCCCAATACACGGTGGGATGTACCTGAGAGGTCGGTGTGAGGCGCCCTGCGTGATGAGTAGATCCGGTCTGCGATCGATCGCTGCTCGTAGGTGCGGATTTCTCTCGTCCTGCTTGCAGTAAATCAAAACTATCCGATGAGTCTAGATTTTCTCCATCGTGATGGTGAGGCTGCGGGCTTTTCTCGATAACGTGTTGAAACTGAAAATTCCCGTTAAGCAGTAAAAGTTGATATTGCTTGGTTTCTGAGAAAGGGCCAGAAAGCTCTACAGGATAAGAAGCTGTGGTCTCATCTTCCTTCTTAAGGATCTGCCACTCTCCATAATACAGATACAATTAATCCGACAACAATCTTGATCGGCCTGAACATTTTAACTTCTTATGAGGGTGGATTTAGCCATTCAATGACATTGTGACACATGGCATCTCGGAACAACTAGGTGACACTTGGAACCACTTAGGCAACAATTTACCTTAGCCAAGATGATGGTGTCCCAGCTGGCGACCTGGCACTGACGTCGACCTGGCGACTTGGCACTGTCACCAACCTGGCGACCTGGCACTGACACCGATCTGGCGACCTGCCCTCACCGTCGACCTGGTGACCTGCCTTTATGCCAACCTAGCGACCTCGACCAGAACTCAGGTCGGCTAGAAGCACCTTGTCCAGGGCCGACCTGCAGCACCTCATCACTGGCCGAAGTGACCTCGACGCAAGGAGCGACCTCCCTCGAGGGCGTGCCGGCCTGATTGAGGTCCAGGTGGCAACCTGCGAGACGTGCTCGCCAACAAATTCGACATGCATATCCCAACACTCCCACGATCCTTGGAAGTTGGCCCACGTACCGAACGTTATGGAGGATGGTCAACGTGCATGGCGGTTGCCTCCGAGGATCTCAGACCGGTTAGGCACGTCCTCCCGAAAATATCGGATGCGGTACGTGAGGTCCACATCAAACAAGGCCTATATAAAGGCACCAACCCAAATGACGCAAGGGGGCAAGTAAGCACATCCTAGCTCTCATACTTTATGATTTTTTAGCTCGTGATTTACTACTAGTTTACTGACTTAAGCATCGGAGCAACCTTGCCGGGTTAGTCACCCTGGGTCCTCTGACATTGATTCCTTGCAGGTTTCAACTACATAGCTCAACAATCAATCCAACTCGTCACCATTCAGTCAGGCATCAGAGTCACCTCTCCAGCTCGCCACCGGTTAGCTCAGCACCTAATCTGCCCCCATATTGGCCTGGTTAGCTCAGCACCTAATCTGCCTCTAGCTCGGCCTAGTTAGCTCAACACCTAATTTGCCCCTGGCTCGGCACCTAATCTGCCTCAGCTTGGCCTAGTTAGCTCGGCACCTAATCTGCCTCCATCTCGGCCTGGTTAGCTCGACACTTAATCTACCCTCAGCTCGGTCTGGTCAGCTTGACACCTAATCTGCCTCTAGTTCGGCCTAGTTAGCTTGGCACCTAATTTGCCCCCAGCTCGGCCTGGTTAGCTTGGCACCTAATTTGCCCCCAGCTCGGCACCTAATCTGCCTCCAGCTCGGCCTAGTTAGATCGACACCTAATCTGCCCCCAGCTCGGCACCTAATCTACCTCTAGTTCAGCCTAATCAGCTCGGCATCCAGGTCCTCATCCAGGAAAAGTTCTCTACTTTGGCCTTTGAGTCATCGGCCACTTGGAAGCAGACTGAATGACGAGGTACTTAACACAAAAAATTATTCATCAACTTCCAAGGAAAAATATGTGATTTTTAGTCTAATTTTCGTAATATGTCTGCATTTTGTCGGTTTTGGTTACTGGGTTGCCTTTTTTTTATTACTTCCTGAAATGCGCTTAATGTTCTGTTTAGACAGTAATAAATGTTAGACTTCTATTTCTTCAGTTTTCGTACATTCTACATTGAATCAAATGGAGCCTGAGAGAAAATGACAACTATTTTTTGAGTTGCAAGCTTTTAAAGCATTGGGAGTTCTGTTACAAATGCTCGGGGAAATTGTATATTTCAGATGATTGTAGTCATCTAATCTAATTGATGATTGGACCAAGCTAACCTCTTCTACTGTATGAATACCTTAACCTGCTTGTTGTATTCAAAGACAAAAGTCAAAAGAGAAGTTAACCTCTTCTCGCACGAATTTCTTTTCTATTGCTATACTTTTTGTTGTTTTCTGCATTTTTTTTCTGTAAATTTCTTAATATATTTTGATGTTTTTGGGGGTTTTTTGTTTTTTGTAATTTTTAATGCTTCACTCAATTTGGATCGGATTGGATCTAATGCGATCTATTTTCATTTCAATTAGATGGGTCTAGATTTGGCTTCTATTGAGTTTGGACAGATTGTATCCGGTCCATTTGCTACGAAGCTGCTATGGAATTCTTCTTAATCGACAACTGATGTACGATGTAAAGATATGAGAGAGGCCCGGGCCGGGAAGAAGGTGGTTCATGGTTTGAGTAATGGCTTCAATGCATATAATCTTGATTTTGCCTTCTGGGTCGGAGTAGAACCCAAAGTATACCTGAGATTTTGGTTCTTCATTTTTTACTTAAATCTTTTCTTCATTACTGTTAGCTTAAAGAAATTAAGTAAAACAGAAAGAAAAGGCCAAGCAAATTAAATCTTTTCCCATAATAATACGATGAAAAGGCCTACGCCTGGCAAACTAACTACTAGCCAAAGACGGATGGCGTCCATTATATCTTTTTTCCGACGCTGACAAGGCTTTCCACATGCGGACTGATAAAGAAATGGGACGAAGGGATCCCCTCAACATCCGCATCCTTGAAGCTCTGCGAATGCAGGTCATACCAAATTAAATTGCCTAATCCCTTAATAAACCCATGCAACAAAATCTGCCCATCAACAATTGCTACCGGACGAACTGCATCCAGAGCTTCCGATGAATGAACAATGCTTTCTTGCACCCAAATACGATCCTCGCCTTCACCCCACTCATCTAACATCATCCATATGTCCATCCTTCTGTTTCCTTCCGATTCGAAATCCAAATCTACCAGGCATAGATGCCCTCCCAACTCTACTACCGACAACAAATGGCGTTTCTTAGTGGAAAGACATTCGGGATGCGGTACCACCTCAAACTTCTCATTTCCGATGTCGAAGGAGACTAGTAATTCTGAGAAGGTAGAAGCTGCAGTGATCCAGTAGAAAAAGCCGTTTACAGAGACGGGATAATCAAGACGTAGTAATTTACAGGTAGGAGAGCCGCTTATCTTCCTCCATTCGCCAGTACCCAAACTAAAGACCTGGGCCCCGAGTCGTGGCTCCGAAGAAGACTCCATCAATTTGATGATTTTATACTGATTGGTTGAACAGTCGAAGCCGAACCCACAACACATATTCATGGACAAAGAAGAAGCCGCATAATCAACATCGCTTCTGGTAATAGTCACCATTTGTCTTATGTTTGGGTTGCATATGTAAATTCTGTCGATACTATAGAAACAGATCAATCCGTTACAAGAAGGTAAAACATGGTACCTACCGAGGGAGACGGTGGTGGAGTAGATGGGAACCGCCACCCCATCCCCAGCTTCGCTCAGCCTCAAAGAAAAGAAGTGTATGGTGCTATAACGATCGCCGTCTACTCTGCCTGAAAGGATGAGACCCTGTTTCTTCTTCCTCATCTTCGCCCGATCCAAGTGCGAATCGACGAGACGGGGATCAGAGATCAACATGCACCAATGTTTATCAACAGATTTGAATCTTACAAGAGACTTAACCGGAAGTCCAGCGAGGATGCTAAAAACAACATTCTCGGGGAGATGTGCCATCTCTCTCTCTCTGGCTCTGGCTCCTCGAGCTTCTTGAATTTCTTCGTTTGCTTGATCATTGTGTTAGAATTCAATCGATTAAGTAGTGAATCACATGTATGTTGACGTACGTGTCATAATGAAAACCATCCGTTCTGTTAACGAGATAAAGACGTTCCAATTTGGAATGGCAACGGCGGGGATTACATTACCCATCCCCGACCCCGACCCCCAAATCATCCCCTGTCCCCGTCCCTGATCCCCGTTGGGGAAAGAAATTCCCCTCCGTCCCCGACCCCGACGGGGATGGGTTTCCCGTCGGAGACCCAAATCCCCAACTTGAGAGAGACTCCAGACTTGCGACTTGCAAATAGATTCAGATCTGCACTGAAGTAGATTCAGATATCTAATCTGTTTGAGATTTCAAAAATCAGAAATCAAAAGCATTGAGAGAGAGAGAGGACTGATGAATCGATTTTTCGTCACGTATCATTTTTTTTGGCTAAGTACCTCTACATTTGGTCTCTTTCCAAGTGGCCGATGACCTAGAGGCCGAAGTGGAGCTGCCTAGGTGCTGAGCTGCCTGTGAGGCGCCGGGCTAACCAGGTGCAGGGCTGCCTGTGAGGTGCCGAGCTGCCAGTTAGGCGCCGAGCTGACCAGGTGTAGGGCTGCCTGTGAGGTGTCGAGTTGCCTGGTGGCGAGCTGAATTGATGAGCTTCGTTGCTCTTTAGAGACTTGCTAGCTTGCTCACTTGCCCCTTTTGTCATTGGGGTTGGTGCCTTTATATAGGCCTTGCTCATGTACCGTCCCTGAGATCTCCGGGAGGTCGTGTCTAACTGGTCTGAGATTCCTAGAGGTAACCGCCATGCACGTTGACCACCCTCCAGATCGTTCGGCACGTAGGCCAACTTCCAAGGATCGTGGGAGTGTTTGGATATGCATGCCAAATTTGTCGGCGAGCATGCCTTGCAAGTCACCAGATCGGCGCATGTGCCACGTCGCCAGGTCGCAACTGTGCTAGGCTACCAGTTCGCGTCAGGGCCAGGTCGCGCCAGGGCCAGGCCGCCGGGCTGTGCTTGGGGCTGCCAGGTGGGGCACCATCAACTTGGCTAAGGCAAGTTGTTGCCAAAGTGGTTCCAGGTCACCTAGTTGTTCCAAGGTGCCATGTGTCACAACATCATTGGAGGGCCAAATCCACCCTCATCAAGGACCATTACGGGCTTTGAGTTGCGGCATTGCCTCACCTATGAGAGAGAGAGAGAGAGAGAGACAAAGGAAGAATAGATCAACGGAAGAAGAAGAGTACCATACTAGGGTTTTAAGTTTTAGGCTTTCAGCCGCTGCATCTGTTCTCTCTTCTTCATCCGTCGAATGGTAATAGAAGAGTCTCTCAACGGAAGAAGAAGAGTAGGGCACTACCATACTAGGGTTTTGAGTTTCAGGCTTTCAGCCGCCACATCTGTTCTTTCTTCTTCATCTATCGAGTGGTAGTAGAAGAGTCTATCGAGTGTTTTAAGTTTGTCTTTTTAGTCTTTTACTTTTTCATCTTTTTTGAGTTTTTGTAATTTGTGTAATGTTTAATTAATTGTTAGTTGAAATTGTTATTTATTAATCAAATAATATATAATATTATAATATTATAATATAAATAATATATTATACATATTATATTAATTGGGGCCAGGGTGGGGTGGGGATTGCATTCCCCATCCCCGATTGGGGATTCAATGTTAGCCCCATCCCCGACCCCGACTCCGTCAAAGCACTCCCCATACCTGGCCCCACTCGGTCGGTGAGCCCGAGTATCCGTTAGGGACGGGGAAAATTGCCATCCCTAGTTCCAACACCCACCATACATGCATCTCACTATAAAATTGGGCCCACCTATCAACTTGATCTGACACCATACATTCATCTCAACATAAAATTAGCGGAGGGGCCATGCGTTGCACGGGTTTGGAGAAATTAAATTATTATATAGAAAAAAAAGAAGACGAGAAGGTATTTTTAGTGAAAATATCTTAGAAAAAATTACTTAAAATAAATTAAAATTTATATCTAATAATAGTGGTTGCAGAAATAGGTTTTTAATTATTTTTTGAGTAAGTTATTTATGAAATTAAGGTAGAGAGAGAGAGAGTAGGTTATAAAAAAAAATAAGTTTGTATTTCTGAAAATTAAGGTAACTTATTTTTCTTTTCTGAAAATTAAGGTAGAGAGAGTAGGTTATAAAAAAAAATAAGTTTGTATTTCTGAAAATTAAGGTAACTTATTTTTCTTTTCTGAAAATTAAGGTAGAGAGAGTAGGTTATAAAAGGGATAAGTAGACTGTACTGCCCCTTAGAAATCTGAATTTATAGCCCCTTCTAGTCTACTGGTAACCCCCTATAAACCGCATCCTACCCATAGATTTGGTATCGATCCATGGTCAGGATTCATTTCAACTGTACGGTAATGATCTAATTATTGATTGATTGAAGGAAATTCAAAAAATGTGGTGAGGTGGTTGAAGTACAATTGCAGCCGGACTTGGCAACATACATACACCGTTAAGGGGAATCAAACAGCTAGCTAAGGGAATGTTTTTGGATTGGCATTGGACTTGCAGACCAGCAAACAAAGTAGTCGATTCCCTAGTCAGGCAGGGTTTCTGCAGGGATCATTTGCATGGTTTTTAAAAATTAACTGGTGATCAAACCAGCCAGGGTCTGGTTACCAGTTCAAACGGTCCGACCGTTCGACTCGAAAGGTTGACCTGTTCTGACAAAAAAAATTAAAAAAATTAAAAAATTGGAAAACGGTCAAAATCGTTCAAATGGTTAACCAACTGGTTCAGCGGTTTACTGACCAAATTCAATGTTTTTGAGGGAAAAAACAGTTTTAGAGAAAAATGGAACTGATCAGGTGACCGGTTGCCGATTTTTCCGGTCCGACCGTCCAGTCCGGTTTTGAAAACAGTGATCAATTGTATTGGGATGTATTGAACTAATGTAGTGTGTAAATAGTAAATGAGGGCAAGTAGTAATTAGACTACCAAAAAAAGTTGTAGTTAAATTTTTTTACCACAATTAATAACATTTTATTGTTATTCATCACGAAAATAACACATGATAGGAAGTGGAACTACTTCAAAACATAGGAAAGAGCTACTTCATAGAAAAAAAGACAAAATAAAAGGGGTCATTGTATAGTACTTTTGAAACTTTTTTGTAACAGTAAAAAGGAAATCGGCAGTCTTTTTGCAAGACATGAAGCAGAAGAGATGGATGCAAGCACTAGATCAGTTTGTTCACTTTGTTGTAGCAGATAGATTCTCTTTAGCCTTCCACCAGAATTTTTGGTACACAAATAAAAATTACTTGATAAGCATGTCTAAGGATTCGAAGATAAATGCAACTTTCATCTTCCTCGCCCCTAAAGTTCAAGGAGCCTCATCCCTAAAGTTTAAGCAGCATTTCATATATAATTGACTATCATTGAATTGTAGTTATGTATCATAGTGCACATCTCATCATTGGAGAATACTGGGGCAAGAGACATAACAGAAATAGGGTATGAAATAGTGAAGAAATTCTTAGGAACAAGAAAAAAGGATTGAAAACATTGTGTTGAATTGGGCAATGTATGGTACAGATTAATTATGAAGTTCTAATGGTAAAACTTAAGCAGACAATCCAGATCAATCGGTTTTACTGACTCAACTAAGGCTGAAGTGTTGGCTGCTCTTGGTTAAGCCATATAGCTTAGCTAAATTTGGTGTTTGCTTAGAAAATCTGTATAGTGATAGGATTCCTCCTTTTTATAATCTTTGGGGTTCTTCCCAGTTCATGTACTCCCTTTTATTTTAATGAAATCTAATTAAACTTTTCTCATAAAAAAATCACTCATGAATAAACTCCAACAATAAACAATAAAAAATGATTCTTTGTCCCTTGATACTACAATAAACAATACAATATGGTCCTTTCATCCTTCACAAAAATTAAAATGACGTGGCATAACTCAGGGTACAAGTATTGTTTCTAAAGCATTTGAAGCCTCAATCATGGCCCAAAAGCTAAAGAGGTAATTAAAGCTGTAAAATAGTTTACTACATGACATGTCATAGATATTCAAGTTCAACATGAAGAATGAGCTTCCACATCTCTGCAGACCAGGAGCTTTTGTTAAGGAGTTCACATCACAATGTCCAACAATACATCTCTGCCGTAAATGTTAATGATAATACCAGAAGACCCGATGATGTCATCATCGGGAGATGTTTCCAATACAAGGCGGAGATGCGCTATAGAACGTTGTGGGGCGCCCGTCTGCAGACCTGGAAGCTCTAGATTTATATATCAAGTTATCAACAAAGACGGACATCCATAACCTCCACGGGACCTTTATATGCAAATGCAAACCAACTAAGCTAGAGATATCAGCCGGGAAAAAAAAAACCAAAAAAATAATGAAATGTGGCGGGCACCAGTAAAGAATCTGGAATCATTTGGGTCATCATTTCCAATCAAACAACTTCCCATTTCTCGTCAAGTGGAAGAACAATTTACATCACTTAAGCGTATATGCAACCCAATGATTGAGTGAAATGCGACAGATGATTACTGAGTCTGACTTACGAAAAGGCAGCTATATACCTGAAGACTAAAATCACCATTTCCAGCCATCAATTTCTCTAGACAACGAGTAGAGAACTCGAGTGACTTCTCGAATATAGCAACGATTATTGGCTCCGCATTTTCAACTGTTCGCAATGTCACAAAAAAGAAACAATAAGCCCACACTGGAGAAGAAGAAGAATACGAAGAGTATCATAAATAAAGGCAAATACTTAAATCCAATCAAAACATAGAAGTTCAAGACAAAAATGACTCTTTGAAAAATCAAGGAGACGAATACCTTGGCAACCGATACCACTGCCTGAATCTGCAACAGGTTCCAGGTCTCCATCCCTAACTTTCCGTCTCCGATTTCTTCAATTCCTCCTGCGAGGATCGAATAGAATTTCTCAAGACCTGCTCTGATCAAAATCAGAGTTAGGCCTCTTGAAGAGATCT